CACTGGCTTTTTGACAGATTGGATCTCAACAATCATCTTCTGGATCTGAAGATCATCTTTCGGATCTGATTTTTGTGAGATCGGCTCAGCTTCTTCAGATCTTCTTGGAGCTTTGGAGATCAGCAACTTAAAAAAACTCTTAAATCATCTTGGAAGGCTTTTATGGAAGCCTTTGAGATTACTCGGCTTGGCTTGTGAACTCTTTCTAAGAGTTCTTCTCAACTCGATCAGAATTCAAAACTTGTTTTGCAAGTTCTTTTAAACTCGTTCAGAGTTCTTTAACTCGATCAGAGTTCAAAACTTGCTCTGTAAGTTCTTCTAAAACTCGCTCTGAGTTATTAACTCGTCAAGAGTTAATTTTAAACTTGCTACGCAAGTTATTCTTGATATCAATCAAGAAGAATCAACCATTCCAGTGAAGCAAAATGTCAGATCGTCAACGGAGAGCAAACTCGACGCGGGCATTCGAGGGAGGCACTCCATCGCCACCGTGAAGAACCCAAAATTAAACAAAGGGGAGGATCTCCATCGATTCTCTTCTCTTTTGTAATCAGGAAATTCGAATTATAATTAAGTTTGAGAGAGTTGTAAACATTCTTTTTCTAAGCATTTAGAGAGAATAAAATCAAATACGATTCTTTCATCATTTTCTTATTACAAATTTTCCAACAAACACACACATGATTCTCCTTATCCTCAACCTTGTAGCTCTCATGTTGATGCATGTAGATCTCTTTATCCAAGTCTCTGCGCAAGAAGGTTGTCTTTACATCAAGGTTTTTCAGCTCAGGGTCATCATGAGCAACAATACTCAATAGCACCCTAATAGAAGTGTGTTTCACCACCAGGGAAAATATCTTATCATAATCCACACCCTCTCTTTGTGCAAACCCTTTAGCCACTAGCCTCATATTGTACCTTTTACCACCGAGCTCTGAAGGATCTTCCTTTCTCTTATACACCCACTTACAACTAATAGCTTTTCTTCCTACGGGCCATGGGACCACCTCCCATGTTTGGTTCTTCCGAAGAGATTCCATCTCCTCCGTCATCGTAGCCAACCAACTCTCACTATCTCTATACTGAATAGCTTCCTTGAAGGAGACCGACTCATCATCCTCCACCGAGAGTGCGTATTCCACCAAATTAACCTACCCATAGTGCTTCAAGGGTTGATCAGCCCCCAGCTTCAGTGCCTGCTTGTATGCTTACCTTGGCTTAGTGAAAGCCAAACTATCCTCGAGCTGGTGTTGTTGTAGTGCTTGTGTATTCTCATGCTGAACCTCCTCCTTCTCAAGCCCATCATCTACCTGATTTCCCACTTGAACATGACTAGAACCTCGCTGGTCTTTAGATTCTATCTCAATAACCTGGGACTTTGAAGTCCCAATAGTCCCAACACCATCATCCTTGGGTGCCTTACAATCATAGATTTCTCATCAAAGGTAACATCCCTGCTGATCACAAACTTCGAATCTTCTGTACACCAAAGACGATAGCCTTTTACACCCTTTGCATATCCCAAGAATATAACATTCTTGGCCTCGCATCAAGCTTTCCCTCATTGATGTGATAATAGGCGGTACACCCGAAAATCTGGAGCCTCTCATAATTTGCATGCTCCCCTGACCATACACTATAGGGTGTATCACCATCCAATGTAGAATGTGGAGAACAGTTCATAATATAACAAGCTGTAGCCATCGCTTCTGCCCACCATTCCTTGCCCAATCCAGCATAAGATCGCATACTCATTGTTTTCTCCCGCAATGTTCGGTTCAGTTTCTCCGCGACCTCGTTCTACTGTGATGTTGACCTGACTATCCAATGTCGAACAATGCCCTCATGATCATAGAATTCCTTGAATGCATCATCTGTGTATTCTGTACTATTATCAGATCTTAGTGTCTTTAATTTCTTCCCTGTCCTGTTCTCAACCATTGCCTTTCACTTCTTGAATGTCTTGAATACCTCATTCTTATACTTTAGAAAATAAATCCAAGCATACCTCGTATAATCATCTATGAACGAGACAAAATATCTGGAACCCGCTTTGAAAGTTGTTTAAGCCGGACCCCAAACATCCGTGTACACATAATTTAGTATCCTCCTGCTTTTAGACTTGCTTCTCACAAACTGGACCTTATGCGCCTTTCCGTACATACAATCCTCGTAAAAATCCATGTAAGGTTTCTTTAGATTCTTCAGTAGACCCTTCTTACCAAGCAGAACTAGAACCTTCTCTGACATGTGCCCAAACCACTTATGTCATAACAGTGTGTGCTCACATGGGTCTCGACCACTTTCTTCAGTTACAACCGCTGCATCTCCCGTCGTTGTCGTTCCTGAGAGAGTGTATAAATTACCGTGACTAACAACCTTCATCACTACAAAGGAACCCCAAACAACCTTCTTCACTCCGTTTTCTGTAACAATCCTACAACCATCGGAGTCCAATGTACCAACTGAGATAAGATTCTTTCGTAAGTCGGGAACGTGCCTCACATCCGTCAATGTTCGGACCACTCCATCATGCATCTTGATCTTGATATTACCTAGCCCCACTATTTTACAAGCATGGTTATTCACTATCAATATGGTTCCACCATTAATGCTTTTGTAGGTAGTAAACCACTTCCTATTTGGGCACATATGGTAACAGAAACCTAAATCAAGAATCCACTTTCGGGAGATATCGTTGCCACCCGTGAATACATAGCATTCCTTCTCGTTCCCTTCCTCTAAAACATAGCTCGCTTCTTCCTTGTCTTCTCCCCTCTCAGTCTTGTTGTTGTTATTCTTCCCACCTACTCTCTTATTTGGACAGTCGACCTTGAAACGTCTAACTTCACCGCATTTGAAACACTCTCTTATCGCAAGAGGTCTTGATTTAGATCTAGACTTTCCTCCCTTACCTTTTCCTCGCTCATTGCTCCTTCCTCTAGCAAACAATCCATGTGCTTGTTCTTTGCTACCACCAGTAGTCATGTCGCTTGTTGCAATCTTCCGAAGGTCATCCTCTAGAAGCGCTGTTCTAGTCTCATCCATCGTTAAATTATCTCCCATAAGCATCAGTGTTTGCACCAGGTTCTTATAAGACTTTGGAAGAGATAGAAATAGTAGAAGCACCTGATCCTTGTCTTCAACTGTCACGTCTATGTCCTTTAAGTCTGATATGATCCTATCAAACTTGTTGATGTATTCCCGGATTGATGAGTCTTCTTCCATCTTGTAAGTATACAATTTGAATTTTAAATAGATATGGTTTATTAGACTCTTCATCATGAAGGTGCTTTTTAACTTTGACCACACGTCCGCAACCGTTTCCTCTCCATCTACAAAGAAAGGTATATCCCTTTCAAGACAAAGGATAATCGACGCCCGTGCTTTCAGATCCAACTCCTCCCAATCATCATCAGACATGTCCTTATGCTTCTTCTCTTTTCCAGCCAAAGCCTTGTGCAATTTTTGCGAAATCAACGAGTTTTTTATCTGCATCCTCCAATAGGAAAAATCATTCTTCCCATCAAACTTTTCGATCTCGTACTTTCTAACTTTAACTGTTTTGCTAGTTGGCGCCATCATCCGCTTGTATTAATAAATCCGCTTCTCTTAAAAAATTACCGAGCACCACCTCAAACCAGAAGCTACACCACTCCCAATCTCAATAACAGCTCTGATACCAATTGTTGGGCATAGAGGCACGTCCTCACGCCGCGGAAGCGATATAACTCGAGAGAAAGCCCTGGCTTTTGTTGTCACAAAAGTTTAAGTCAACCTCTTTATTTCTGTTTCACTAAGGAAACAAGAATAGAAAGTGAAATATCTCAACAAAGTAAAATATACGTTTTTCCTCTCATCATTTCTAGGTCTGACTTGTCGAGGGGACCTACAAGCAATAGTCAACACCCAGAAAAAAAATATAAAAACACGAGATTTACGTGGTTCGGCAAACATGTCTACGTCCACGGGGAAGGGGGAGGGAAGATTCCACAATGAATGAGAAATCCCAAAGAAGAAGCTTTGATTTTTACCCAAAAGAAATTGACCTCTCTTTTGTAAAATCCCTCCAATCTCTCTCTTTTTCTCTCCTCAAGATCTCAGATCTAGATCTCTTTAGCCGCCGCTTAAACCCTCTATTTCTTCTCTTAACAACCGACTAACCCTCTATTTTTATCTCCCACACAAAACCCTAGAAGAGACTGTCAGGTATTTATACCCGAACACCGATCCAAAACGGATTGGGAAACAATCCGCGCCCGCTTGGATAACCCGCTCGCGTGCGCCCGAGAAACCCACGTGGGTGTGGTGGCGGATTGGGAAACAATCCGCGCCCGCTTGGATAACCCGCTCGCGTGCGCCCGAGAAACCCAGTGTGGTGGCCGCAAGACACAAATTCACACCCACGTGGGTGTGGCCCCCACAATAACCCCACCCGTTCACATGTACGATCAGATATTTCACCGAAAACATCAAATAATCTCGTAGTTCCCGATATAAATAGCTACTAATTTCTCTCTCCCATGCCTTTGCATTTCACTCACAGCAGCACACTTAGTACTACGTAGTTACCAACGTTGACGTATGGGAATCCAATAACTCCAAAACAGTCTTCCCCCTTTTTCTCTCTCCATCTTACTCTATATATTCCAGCACAGAACCAGATTCAGGCCAAGAGAAGCAGAGATTTCCTTCTTTGTTTAATTTGGAGTGGGAAGCTTTGTTTATTCCCACTGTCATTTGGGTTCTCTGTTTCTTCTTCTTTCTTCTTCTTCTTCAGAGATGAAGGATGTTCTGCATTTTGTTTTCGGGATTTTTGGTAGGTTAATTTTTTTTAATCTGTTGTTTTTCTTTTTCTTTCGGGTGTAATTGTTGGAAACTGATAATTGTATTCCGGCATGGTTTTTGTGAATGGATTTTGTTGTTGACAGGGAACGCTACTGCTCTGTTTCTCTTCCTGTCGCCCATGTAAGCGTATATATATGTTACGATAGCTGCTTCTTGTTTCTTTTTCCTTTTTTTTCCTTAATAGTTTCCTGTTCTTCCTCGTTATAATTTCATTATTCTTTTTCAAATTTTATTTGATTCAGCAGTTTATTGAGATGGATTTACATATAGTGATTGCGATAATAACATCAAGGGGAGAAAGTAAATGCCCAACAAAGGGGGTGGTGGCGCAGTTGGCTAGCGCGTAGGTCTCATAGCTAAATTTGAGTTATCCTGAGGTCGAGAGTTCGAGCCTCTCTCACCCCAAAACTTTTTTATTAAATCATCAATTCTTTTAATTTTCAAGAGAAATTCATTACTGCTAAAAAAGAAAAGTAATTATCTTTGAAGTTAAAACTTAATCTCCTGATGCTCCGTAACCTTGTTTTCGATTTTTTTTAATCCATTCTGATTGCGAAATTTGTCAAGAAAATTAAAATTTGTAGGAGATGTTATACTGTGTTGCCGCATCCTAAATTTCTTAAAATGTCAGTTTCTCAAGAGATGATAATTTCCACAGAATCCTCTTCTTAATGAATTGCAGTCCTAAGTTTAATTCCAAATATTTATCTTTTCAGTGTGACTTTCCGAAGAATTATAAAGAGAAAATCGACTGAGGTATTCTCAGGGATTCCCTACAACATGACCATGCTCAACTGTCTCTTATCTGCTTGGTAAGCCAGTTCTAGATCTCTACGAAGAACGTCCCCGTCTGTGGCATTTCTAGATCTACCTGAATGTATGCGTACATATTGGTAGGTTTTGGCCACGATATATGAATAACGTGACACTTTTAATGTTTTTGAAGGTATGGCCTTCCATTCATTTCACCGGATAACCTACTTGTATCAACAATCAATGGCACGGGTGCCCTTATAGAGGCAATATACGTGCTGATATTTCTCATATTTGCACCGAAGAAGGTTAGGGAAAAGATTATAGGACTCCTTGCCCTGGTGACCTCTATATTCACTTTGGTTGCCCTCATCTCGACGCTTGCTCTTCATGGTCAGGCGAGGAAGCTCTTCTGCGGCATCGCAGCTGCAATCTTCTCCATATGCATGTATGCCTCTCCGTTGTCTATCATGGTAACAAGTTCTTCCTCTCAAAACATTAAATAGTAATGATGAGTTCATGGTCAGTTATCTGATAATGATTACTGATCCACTAGCTCCGTTCTGGTTGCATCAATATTTCAAAATAAACTGAACTGATGACATCAATTTGGATGTCTTTAGTAAATTTTAAACAAATATTTTTTGGATTATTACACTTGTAATCTTTATGCTAATCAATCATGCAAACTTGTTAGTACCTTGACATTATAAAACGAGTTCATATGAATAAATCGACACCTAAGCCCATAGACATGTTTCAGTGTTTGGTCTATGTTGGCTACAGATTGATTCGTTCATTTATGTGATACGAAATCTGCATTCATGTAAATTTATAAACCTAATTATGCAAAATCCATCAGAAGTTTCTGAATGATCTCGTTTTCTGCAGAGACTTGTGATCAAAACAAAAAGTGTCGAGTACATGCCATTTCTTCTCTCGCTATTTGTGTTCCTATGTGGAACATCATGGTTCATCTATGGGCTTCTCGGTCATGATCCATTTGTCACGGTAACTAAATTCTTTGACTCCAATAATCCTTCCTGTTCAAAATTTTCAACATGTATTCAGGATATAAATCTTTGGCATGTGTGCAGGTGCCTAATGGCTGCGGAAGCGTGCTTGGAGCAATGCAGCTGATCTTATATGCAATATACAGGAAAAACAACGGAAAAGCGGCTACTAACTGTCACAGTAATGGAGACTCTTTGAAGATGAATGATGTGAAACCTGCGCAAATCTACGAGCTAAATGGCGAACAAGTATAGACGGTGATTCAAGCATATCCTCCAGCTTTACATTTTCTCTACAACTCTCAAATGTTTCCGCTTTCTCTTCCTCATTTTGTCATCTACCCCTTCGAATCTTGGATGGGAATTGGAGAGTGATAGGAAAATTAAGTGACTCCATGGATCCTGCATTTTCTGTGGAATGGAATATGAATAAAGGGAAAGAGAGTTGTTCGGTAAAGGTCCTCCTCTTAGCACAAATCAACTTTTGAATGAATTTCTCATTCTGTTTCATCACAAACTTAACTTGTTTGTGTTCTTTCATAACGCTCTTTAAGGATTGGTGATTTGATGGTTTCCAGGGTGAAGGTTTTCTGGGATATAATATGCGAACACTTTCAAAGAATAAGAGGAGGGGGGGGGGGGGGCGGGGATCATCTGTTATTTTAGGCCAAAATGAGAGTACTAAACCCAGATAGGGACATCTTTCCCAATTAGACAATATATGTATCGATCTTAAGACTCAGCAACTAAATCCCTCAAGGATGGTACTTTTATAATTATGTTCAAAACCTAGATGGAAGCTGGCTCTCAACCAACAAACGATTACCCGTATGATGCAACAAGGAGACTTGTATAAGAATGCATTGTATATACAAGCCCTAGGGAGTGTTAGGATCTATGTATAAATAAATTTTAATATAAATATCAAATTCGTGACTAGACATGTGAAATTATGTCAGAATCAATATAAAATCTCAATAATTACTGCTTACTCCCCCAATTATATAGAGCTCTAGTAATTTCGTCCGTCTATTAGTTTTTCTGTTAGTTTCTCAATTCGTGGTTGCGTTAACCCTTTGCCCAACAACTGCGATTACCTGAATACCCTCTTGTACACATTTTCATCTCAAAGAACTCAGGATGCCTCTGTGCTCACAAAGTCCCCCCACCCCATTGTTGAGCGCTGCGGAAGCCAAACAATCAAACCAACGTGCTATGAGAAATCAAATCAAACGAACGTCGAGAGAAGGCCAAACGAACCAAATCAATGTCACAAACACAAACAACCAATTTTAACGTGGTTCGGCAAGTTGCCTATGTCCACGGGGCAAGAAGGGGATAGAGTTTTTCACTAATAGAGAAGAAGAGTACAAACTGAGATTACAAATTACACAAACTCACCATTTAATCTCACCAACAAATCTCTAATTCTCTCCAAACAAAATCCTAACCAATTGCTCAGAAAATACCTATTTTCTGTGCTCCAAATATCCTCAATTTTCTTCTCAATTCTCTCTTCCAATTGTGTCATATATATAAAAATCCTGAAATCATAAACATACTAGGAATTCTAAAATAAAAAACAAAACAGATTAGGAATCCTAATAACCTGTTACCAAAACAGATTTGGAATCATGTTACCAAAACAAATTAGGAATCCTAATAACCTGTTACCAAAATAAATTAGGAAACATATTAGGAACCTTCTATCCAACAATTCTCCACTTCGACGAAATTTTCCCAAAACTGAGCTGATACCAATACCAACCAAACGTCTCACTTGTTGCGTCTAGTACGAAGTGGAACAAATCCACGACAACAGACTCAATCCATAATAAGTCGAGAACCCAAATGAGAATACGAACAAACTCCAAATGTCGGTATCAACTTACCAAACTGACTGCATCATAAATGATTGCCTACGTATCCTCTTGCCCAAGGAATCAAACCTTCACGTAGTTAAACCAAACGGTCTCCAAAGGCCCTCAATCAAATAGAAAAGTTTACAACTCTTCATCAATATCACTAACAGATCTGCAACTGATAGCGCTCCTAATGGCCCCAAACTGAAACAAATCAAACACCTCCACCTGAGGTGAACAAATGGTCGTATCTAAAACATGTCCACTAGCTGCACTCAAATCCAAAACCAACTCATCATCTGCATCCAAATCCAAATGATCTCCAAACTATGTCACCTCAGCTAGAATCCCAAACGATGCAGTATGATCTGGAATATGTGGAGTAATCTCCACCCAATGTGAAGTAGCATCACCCTCCACCCACTACAATATCCCAATGATCTGATCAATACTCTCCACCTGCCGAGAGTCAAATGTGACATACCTGCTCAAAACAAAATCAGAAGCTCCTAACTGATAATCAAACGAACCTTTGAATTCCAAACGTGCAATCGGATCAATTCTCACATCCTCGATGTGACCAAATGTTAGGCAACCAAATATCCAACGTAACCCAAAATCTGAAGCAGCTCTACCAGATCCAAAATCTTCATACGCAGCAGTCGGCAACCTATGACCTAGATGACCCAAATATGTCGAAACTCCAAAATAAAAACTAAAACCAATATCAACAACCAACATCGACCCCCTCCAGTAAGGAACGACCCATCAAAACTGTCATCTCATCTCGTCTCCCCAATGTCTCCACATAAATGAAGTGTCTTATACTGCCATGAGCTCGGTAAAAATGCAAGAAAGAACCCCCACCAAAGCTAGAACGACGGGTTACCTTTCAACCAATACACTTCTTCCAATTGTTATTAACTTCTAGGACTTCACACCAACGGAACCTGGTTGCAACCCACTAATGCCTAGAATAAACATCAACTGCAGAAACCAAATACCGATTACCTCCCAATGATGCCTCCTTGGAAGGCCCCCAAATACCTGACTGAACACCACCTAAAAGACCTCTCGATCGATGAATAGAAGTGCCAAACTTCACCTCGGTCTTCTTGCTCATACTAATGTGCTCAAAGGACTTCAATCTATAGGTCAAAGCACTCCTCAACAAGCCATGCACGGCTGATGCGGCATAAACATGTACCAAAAAATATTACAAGTGCACAACCGTGTCAAGTTATAGTATAAAGATATCGATCCCATGAGGAAGGTGTTTTGTAGGAGAAAATATAAAATCGGTTCTTATGTTGTGTATGTGACAAATAGGAGTGATGAGTGAATGTGATTGTGAAGAGATTAAGAAGGTGATAGTGTGTAAATAGGCACAAAATGTAAGTGATGTTAGACCCTAGAGGGGGAGGGTGATTAGGGTCTTATGCTAATCTAATCCGATTATATGCTAATTAAAACTTAATAATAAATTATTTTTGCAAGATAGATATACAATATGTTATGAGCAAGAATATATAATATGAACAATAAGATATATCCTATATGATAAAAATATATGTAATGATATATAAACTAACATAAGGGTGAAATAAACATAAACAAGATAGTTGATGAAATAAAATGAGTAATGCACAATTGGCGATATAAGATAAATACAAAAGCAAATGCGCCAATGACAAACTCTAACACACTCAAATGATCACGGAGTTCGGACCTTCCGTCCTACGTCTCCAGTCCCTACTCTCGGGGAGAAATCCACTATCACAATCCGATTTGGAAGCCGGAACTTCTACACACTCGGTTTTCTAGCTAACCGAAAACTCTATAACTCACACTCTTGCAAACCCACTCTACACCCTCACAAGTGTTGGACCTAGCCGTGTCTCCCTCAAGTGCTCGGTTACAACCTCTCCCTAGGTTCGTCAACCGACGCCACTCCTCTTGGGACGATCACCGACTCTCACCACACACTCCTCTCGGTGTACAAGTGTATTACAAAGTGATCTCACGATTAAGCACAATACAAAGAATGATTGTTCTCTAATATGGATGAGAACACAACAAAAGCTCACACTCAATTGTTAAAACTCTCACCAACCCAAATATACTATGTATGAAAATACAATAAGCTCAAGTGGATGTGTGTGTAAACAATGAGTAAAATCAAATATAACTCAAATAGCAATTTAGCAATAATAAGAATATAAAAATCAATAATAATATTGCTAGAGAAAAGAGGATGAGAAGATATTGAAGATGAACTCCTCAACAGATGATGCAAACTCCTCTTTGTAACTGCAAACCCTAAAAACAAACTAAACAAACTTAAAGTCTTTTAAAACATGTTTAAAACATTTCTTGGATTGGGTTGAGAACTGAGATCAAGGGGGTATTTATAGCCTCCCAAAAACTCAGCCAAGAACCCCAAACAAAAGACCAAAAACCCCAACGAATCAGAAATATGATTCTATACCAAATATGACCGTTGGGTGATCGGCAGTCGACCGTAGGAAAATCGCGGTCGACCGCGAAGGTCATTGAAACTGAGAAAACAAGCAGAACAAGCTACGGTCGACCGCGACGGTCGACCGTGAGAACTTACAGACTGACGGTCGTTTGCCACGGTCGACCGTGAAAGTTTCTGCTGACTTCTCAGGAAAAAACATGGGCGCGGTCGACCGTGAACTGATATATAAAATTTCATGTTTTGAAAACAGTTTGCTGATTTTAAAACATTGTTTAAAAATATCAAATAAATTTCAAAAATTATGAAACTTTAGGAAATGATTATAGACATGATAATACACATGCTACCAAATAGTCCAAAACACAAAAGGACTATTGTTAAGTCCAAAACACAAAAGGACTATTATTAAGAAGGTGATAGTGTGTAAATAGGCACAAAAGGACTTCCTAAATGAGAAATATCATTATTTTGAAAAATAGTCCAAAACACGAAAATGTAAACATATGAACTTTGACATTTAGGCTAAACCATGTTTTAAAACTTTGCACAATAATTATGTAGACTTAATAAAATATGTATATGATTATTGTTAAGTTCAAAAACTAAGAATACAATATTTTTACAAATACAATAGAAAATGAAACATATGAGTATGTATATGAAAATATATTTGTTTCATATCTAAGTAGTTAAACCAAATCATAATAATAAATATGAAATATGTAATTCCATATTTATAAACATAAAAACCAAAACTTGTGTTGTATATATATATGACTACATATATATACAAGGAAACCAATAAAATGTGTGTGTATATGATATTGAGCTTAGAGTATCTAACACACATAATATAAAACCTAAACTAGATTACCCAAGTCGATCTTGATCTTCAATAAGCTTGACTTGGTACACTATGCGGATGAAGCTGAACTTGGATCTTGAACTTGAATTGCATAAGCTTCACTCCACAATTCCGCCAACCTCCATTTGATATCGTCGTTGAAGCGCTATTCCATCCATCCTCTAACTCGTTGTTTGCCTAGAATAAATACGAAAACACAAACACTAGACAAACAATATTAGAAGTAAATTATTTGTTAAACATCATCAAAACAAGAAGGCCAACAAGTGAGAGTGGATGTGACAATGAATGAATGATT